TTAGAATTTCCTTGATAACATCCAAGTTTCGAGAACAAAATGGGCAGAACAGAGTCTGTCATGGAGTGGAACTGATGTTTGACTCCTTTGATCATTTCAAAGCACAAGAAGCCAAGTCCCTGACATAAATCCAGTTGGGTTTCAAGTTCAGAGAAAAGAATATCAAAGAGCTCACTTGGGTCTTTCATTTTTCGCATGAGGAAGGAGAAACTCTCTGCTGCAAATTGCTGGATGTAGTATTTTTGTTCACTGATGAGCAGTGGACTGTACAAACTAAAAAGAAAATTTGATGGATATGTTACAGGTAAAAATTAAATTCAGGTTAAAAATTTTTAGGTTATTTCCTTTGTCTGCTAACCCTAAGTCGTGGATAATAAGGGCGAGGAGACAAAGCAAATTGAGAATCAACCTTGGTTAAAAAATTTAACCTGGATTTAATATTGGTCATAACAGATACAAGGTGAACAATTGTAAATAACCCAGTGGGCTATGTAAGACCTCTGTACCTGGAAAATAATTTCTGTAAAATAGACCTGTGTTTAGGAGACACTTTCATCAGGCAGACACTTGTGAAATGATTCTTAAATATTAAAAGTGACACTGTACTCTGAAACTAAAAAATTTCTGTCACAGACAGTTCATTATTTTTCTTTTTTTTTTTTGTTTGTTTGTTTGATTTGCAAGGTACCAAACCTCATAAATCCCTTTTGTATGTCTATAATGCAGACATCTTTATGCCCTAACAGTCTGTATCAAGTACATGTAATGTAAAGTGACTAAACTTTGTTTGTTCTGTTTTTTCATGTAGTGAGTGGACAGAGAATGTGTCCAAAATTAAGCATGCTTAAAATAACAGCAGTTCTTAGGTACACATTTCCCGTCCCCTAAGATTTCACATTAGACAGTGTTTAATCCAGGGATAATGGATCGAAAACACAAAATACATGAATTTTTACCTCACAACAACCTTTTAACCTACCTGAATACATTCGATATATCTTTCACCATGTGTCTCCAGAGAAACTTGAATAAGTAACTGAGAGTTGTAAAAATACATTCTAACACATGTACGTCTTGCCAACAGTGGTTCAGTAAAGACACAAATATGCCAAAGAAGCTGCCAAAGTGAGGATAAAAGTCAACTTGCAAATCCTTGGCTAACTGCACAACAAGATCCAACAGTGGTTCTAAAGCGAGGCTTCCACGAATTTGTAAATGTTCTTTTAACAATTCTATGACTCGTTCCTTGTGGTGAACAAGCAAAGCAAGACTTTGCACGTACTCCTTGATTTTGGACGAGAATTCTTGATAGTGTAACGTGCAGTTTAACTCTGTCCATTTTAAAAGCGCTTCATCAAAGAACGTGTCTGCGTCCTCTGGCGTTTCAGTGCTTCTTTGAATTCTGTGGGTCACGTCGATCTTGATGCCTGCAATGCGCTCAGAAAATCCCTTGAACCTGTGCGTATTTGTCTCTTTTCTCTTCACCATGATGACTGGCTCAATAAATAGCACAAGGTATTTTCAAGTCCAAAATGTTTCTGAAGTCAATCGCCATGTGCAGGCTTTTGGCAGCCATATTGCTTTTGACCGGAAAGGACTGGATCGGTGTTCTTTTTATCTCGTTCCAGTTCCTCAGTTCCATGGGTAAGTACTTCATGTATGGGGACATATATTCCATGGTCAGAGTCCGCTGACCAATTTTCACAAATACTCCTTTCTAGGTCTTCGGCACGATTAGGCTTAGGAGACCTTAGGACGAGTGATAGGAAGAGTGCTTCTTTTCGGGGCACAATCATGAGAAATCTGTAAAGACTCGTGGCTGAGTCAGACATAGACATAGACACTTATTTTACGTGGTAAATATGCTTAGCCATAAGGCTAGCTACCCGGGCTAGCTAACAGATATCCGAAGCAAAAAATTAAGGCAGAAAAAATTAAATTACTAATTGCTAAGTTTACGACTTAGCTATTATACAATTTAAACACGGACCCTGCGTGTAAAAGGACCTTTGCCCGGGGCGAGCCGCCACTCATTTGAATCGAGACACCGAACTGTCAACATCAAATAACGCGAGTGTCTAGAAAACGACGACCTAGAAAACGAAGACCTACGACCTAGATAACGACGACCTAGAAAGCGACGACCTAGAAAACGACGACCTAGAAAACAACGACCTAGAAAACAACGACCTAGAAAACGACGACCTAGAAAACGACGACCTAGAAAGCGACGACCTAGAAAGCGACGACCTAGAAAACGACGACCTAGAAATCGACGACCTAGAAAGCGACGACCTAGAAAACGACGACCTAGAAAACGACGACAAGGATGGGGTAGCTCGAAGGATTAAGGGGTTAGAGGGGTACGGAAGGCGGGAAATAAGAGGACGAAAGGAGGGAATTATGAAGGGGTGAGAGGTGGGCGAAGGAGGAAAATAACAGAAAAATAGTAAATATTATTTGTACCGGCTAAGGGTATGAAGCCAAGGAATAAAACGGTGAAATTGGAAATGCAAGGTACGCGAGGTCTCCCCTCTGTTTCGTTTATCAAACAAGCGTTGCCTGTTTGTTATTGGATAGATTTATTTGATGACAAGAATTGTATTAGTTTTTCAGTAGAATGGAGGTGAAGAAGAAAATAATTTACAGTCTGTCTATAAATCCGCTTACCTGAAGAATCTGTTAAAAGAATTTACTAACCTGTAAAGTGCGATTGTTGTAACGACCCGCCACAAAAGTAAATTAACATTGAAGTTTTCTGAATTTAGCTACGAGATTAAGACGATTTGTGTTTGTTCTGATTGCGAATTATAAATGTATTTCTTTTAGATCGAAAAATTATTAAAGCGTGGTGGTCATTGGAGCTAACCAGTTCCTAAGGAAACACCCTCCCCCTCTAGAACTGGCTGGGGTGGTGGACAATAAAGTGTTTACCAAGAGAGGATAAACTCTCTTGGTGTTTACTGATTAAAAGTATATCGGGCTAGTTTCATGAGCGATCCCGGAGTGTGTTAATAAAAAGAGGTTTGGGAAACGAAGTATTTCTAAAAGTCAAAATTTGGGAAATTTTCACGTTTAGGCGGAGATGCTCGATTGATTTATTGATTAACGTAAACCTTCGTTACATGTACCCCGCGAGATACCTACATCTATTGTTCTTGCGGTAGTTTCATAACGCGGTTTATAAAACCGTCTCTCGCATTTCTAAACAGCAGTTACAGAGTGCCTAGTGTCGTCGCAGGAGCTATTGTTTTGTCTTGGACATTGCATTGTGCATTGCGTGAAAGTGATGGAAGCCAGATGAACCGAAGTGAAATTTTTAATTTTGCTCTGCGGCGTTGTCTCTATTTCTCATGATGTAACAATTTATTTCTGAACAATTCAAAAGTTCTACCGGAGATCTCACTGCATATATACCACGCTATCGGACCTGTGACGAAACAGAAACTCCCAGGATGATACGATTCAAATTTTACAGTTCAAATACAGTTCAAATCTGATGACATGTCAACCTTCATTGTGTCCCACATAATATTTCACAATTCTCGTTACCGGTATGCTGCCGTTTCGTGTATGGAAAGGTACGAGAAAATGTTGAAGCCCTTCTCTCTTTATTTTCAAAATATAAACTGTTTGTTTACGGTGTAGAGCTGTGAATACAAAAACGGCACGCCTGATTTATTTCCTGTTTGCCTAGTTTATGTGGGCTTGAACTTCCCGCTATAAACGACGTGCCAGTGAAGCAGTGTATATTATTTAGGTCATTTAGATTTGATGGAAATTTGTTTAAATTGATATCAGGATAAAAAATAGGTCAAGGCAAAGCCTTTGCTCCCAGTCACTCAGGTCGAATCATGACTTCATTGACCATACTAAAGGAAAATTTGACTAGAGAAACCTTTTTAGTGGAGCTCTCACGCGCGCGCCCAAAGGGGACACAATTGGCAACAAATTTGGTTACCTTTGCATGGGCGCCATTCCATTCAATCAAAACGACTGGTTTAAATTTTCGGCAACTTCCATGCAGTACCGAATGGAACAGCATTTTCGCAATATATACCCAAATTTTCGAAAATTATCATCGGGAAGTTTTCTTTCCGCATTCAAATTTGCTCCCGAATGTCTAAATTTCTGGTTGAAAGGTTCGCATTTCGGAAACGTTTCCGGAAGTCTGGGAAATTTTCCGGGAAAACACTGTACCAATTGCCACTGTTTCCAAAGTTTCGTAAGTTTTGGGTGAATGGAAAGCACCCAAAATGCATCCAAGAAATTTTGGTTCTGAGGGAATCGTCTGCACGTACTACGATGTATAAAAAAGTGTGCTGCACGTGCACATTAGACCTATTGACCTTAGCATTACTTATAACCAGCCCCGGGTAACTAGCGGCTATGAGCGATTTGCGTGGGTGTTTGGCACGTTTGGTAAGATTACACTTGCTATGAATATGCTATTTTGGTTTTGTCCGGGGATGGGGCATTTCGCACACCTCTATTAAGTCCCCCACCCCCCCTCCCCGCGGTTTTTTTTTAGGTCATCGTTTTCTAGGTCGTTGTTTTCTAGGTCGTCGTTTTCTAGGTCATCGTTTTCTAGGTCGTCGTTTTCTAGGTCACCGTTTTCTAGGTCTTCGTTGTTTAGGTCGTCGTTTTCTAGGTCGTCGTTTTCTAGGTCGTAGGTCTTCGTTTTCTAGGTCGTCGTTTTCTAGACACCCGGTCTCGGGTCCGCGAGACCACAGCTTTTCAAGTAGCAAGACACACTGTTGGCCGTAGCCCTGCTCATGCTGGAAATAAAGAATAACGAAATCATTTAATTTCTCTCATGAAAGTCTGTAAATAACAAAGATGATCAGCTCTAGTCAGTTGTCTTCGCCCAAACGACTTCGGGTGAGTGGATTTTTCATACATTTTTGTTGCGTTGGTGTCTATATTTGTGTCTTTTTTCCCCGATCGCTCGGCAAGCAAGCGCACAGAATCAACGTAGCTTCTGTTTTAATTTGTCCTTTCTACAGATTACTGTCGAGATAAAAGAAGAGGATAGGGAAAGTTTTCTGGAACTTCTTCACAATGCTACGCCGGCTTGCGAAGTGGTTTCCACTAGGAAGGTGAACGGCCCGTCTTCAAACGGTTAGTGCGGTAAAAGATCGCTTCTAAAATTTAATTTTCTATAATCACTACAATGTCCTTCTAGTGCAATAAGTTTTTGGTGTTTAACTTTTTCCTTCCATTAAAATATAATTTTATAGAGAACATTCTTTAAAAAACTAAGATTTCAGATTCAAAACAAGACATGATTTAGAGAAGATTTCGAATCGCGCGCGCAATTCCCTTATCTTTTACCCGCGGAGTGTAGAAGAAATTCGATTCCTGTCTGGGTTACGTGAAGATTTAGGTCAAGACCTTCCCACACGCAATATAATAATCGTAAAGGAACTAGTCTGTTTCATCCCAGTAGTCAAATCCAAATGCAGCTTACCAAGTGCAGAGGAAAATAGTCACATATTATTTTTCATTTGCAGAAAACAACAATGTCATCTTTTTTTAGCAGACTCTATCTAACTGACATCAAATAAATTTTACATTTTCCTTGTAGCAACGAAACGTCCACGATTTTCTGTTCCTGCGACTGATGAAGATCAGCCCCGTGAAAATGTAAGCGTTTTTGAACGCTATCGGGCACAAGCCATATTCCTGTCCCTGGCCCTGCATCACCTGGAGAAGATCAGCTGGAAGATCTCGAAAACACTACAGACACCACAGGCTGTGAATATTGCCTCCAGACCAGGGACCGCGAAGCAAGGAGATAAGTGGGAGGGCTGACAATTGAAAATAATTTTTTCATATTGAAAATCGAAAAAAGGAATAAAATCATAGTATTTGATTCGCAAAAAGTGGGGGCGGGGGCGCAAAAAAATGGTGGGGCGGCGGCCCTACCAGCCCCTCCCCCTCCGCGGTCCCTGCTCCAGACTCGGTGCATTACCTCTTCCCCTTTCAAACCACAGGCAAGAGGTAATGCACGGATTAATAATCACATAAAGCGTAGAAAAGACTACATGTGGTATTGGAGGACACTCAAAGATTGTTGTCTATGGGAGGACCCTGTGTACCAGGCCAGAAAAGAACAACTTGGCTGCCACATCGATGACGTGAGGGAGGTTATGCCACATTGTGTCATCAAAGATGTTCGAGAAAGGTGGCCTAATCCCCCTCATGTCCCATACCAGGGACACCGAAGAGCATGAGGGCCAATTTATTCTGTGTCCTCAAAAAAGCGAACAAATTTCTTTCTTGAAAATTGGTTGGGAAAAAGAAGGACACATGATCTTTGGTGTATAAGCTATTGTAGATTTTTAGAATGTGAGCAGTAAAGTTTTGGCATGGGACGCGGCCTTGCGCTCGCTATGCGTGCTTTCTTTGTGAAAAAAAGATAATTTTTACAACTTCTAAGCCAGTTGTGCAAGTCTCAAAATTACAGGCCAAAACAGTTTATGAAAGGTTAAGTGGTGTTATTATTGGGTAAACCAACTCTAGGTCAATGCTCATAGTTCTTATTGACCTGAGCCCTTGCCTTCTAAGAAAAGGCAAGATTTCCTTCAAATTAGTCCCGGAGTGCATTACTTCAGTGGACAACCACTGGAGTAGTTGTTATAATCAAGTGGTATGACTGTCATATGCTTTTCGCACTAAAGACCCTCTAAAGGGAACAGTTCCAATATGAAACCATTGTTTGGGGGTCTACATATCAAACTACCTTGAAAAGAGTTGTTGTGTTGCAGAAACGTATCATAAGAGTATTAATCAGAAAGTCCTGTTTCGATGCCCCCAGTGCTCCATTATTCTATGAGTTTAGTTTTCTCAGTATAATTAAAAGTGATATGCTACAGATCGGCTTGTTCATGTTCTCCTTCAAAAATAAGTTAATTCCAGAAGGCTTTCATGATATGTTCCTGTCTAGTTCTCAACCTCATTCTTCTAATACAAGGAATGCCATGAATTACAGATCTCAATTTTCTAGAACCAATTTCAGGAGATTTACCATAGCATATCAGGGCCCAAAGTTTCAGAATACCCTGCTGAACTCAAAGACGAATATTCAAAAACTGTCTTTAAAAAGAACATACATACATTTTTAGCTGAACAAGGTAATCTGTCCTAATTATTTCCATATTGTTGATGAATAATTTCTTGTATAGCCATTTTTTTCTCTCTTTCGCGGCTAAGTTTTTGGACTATTAACTAGAATATTGTACATATTTTTTTGTTATAACTATTAATTTGAATCAATCATTAGATGCCCTAAATCAAGTTAGCCCTACCCTACTTTAATGGTGAAAGTCCATAGAGACTAAAAAGACATGAGAATTGCCTAGTAATTCCCTGTAAATGATATAAAAATTAACCTACTATCTGATTCAACTGCAATATGCTACATCTGTCACGTATTTCTAATTAACAGTAAGAAAGAAATTACAATTATAGCCTCGCCAACAAGAACCATGGTAGGGCTTATTATTACAAATTCTTCAAGTATGTCCAGATATCATCTTTGAAGTGGAAGGTCTTTTCCACCAGCACCCTGTGTGGTGCAATTCGGTCTGGTTGGCGACTTGTTTGGTAATATTGAAGAGAAGATGTTTCTCTCAGCACATTCTCATTCTATATGAATAAACAAGAAGTACTTGAATTACTTTTTACTGGGTATGTGCCGCTGGCCTCTAAGAGCCCCTACCCCATTTGGTCTATTTTGTGGCCAATTATAGACCCCATCTTAGTCACTTTTGGGCAAATATGTAATTTTCGCGATCCCAACTTAGTCACTTTCTATTTATGTGTCTACCTTATCGATCCTTTAAATAGGTCATCCTAAAATGAATTGAATGAAGAACACTTTACTTTTCATCTACAGTACAAACATTCGTATCCGTTTGCTAATCGTAAATATGAAGAAGTTTCTTACCCCAAAAATCCGAAAATGTGCGACCCTATTCTAGTAACTCTATTAAAAATGCGACCCCATTATAGTCCATCCAGTCGTGAAAGTGGGACCCTATCCAGCGGCACATCCCCATTAGCCTCTTATGAACGTGTATAAGAAAGTACCCCCCCCCCGGGGGGGGTGTTAACAAAACAAGGTCACCCAGCCTGGCTTCTATTCAAAGGCCAGGGCACTGAGCACACAATTGTAAAATGGCCTATTCCCCAGTCCCAGCTAAAGCATATCATGCAAATTGTCTGGTAAAGCGTTCCAGTGTTTCGCAGTAAAACTAAGCTAAAATCATTTAGGCTATATTTGGTACTATTCAGCCTGTGTATTTTATCAATACATTGACTCCCCGCAGATTGTAATTGTTTGTTCTAACATCAAGAAAACGATTAATTAATAAACAACTGCATGTTTATGGTCAATAACCTGTCTTGTAATCTACGTGTTTCTAAGGTGCTGTTCTAACCGACGAGGTCAAATATTCATCCCGCAAAATAGCGCTTAAAACAGCACGGGACGGCGAAAAAAATGACACATGGCTCAGTTAGCATTTTCTTCAAACGTTTATTGAAAAATTCGCTTTAAATTCTGCATTTTGGAACAAATTATAGTCACCGTATTGTTCATATGTATTTCTTCTATAAATAACAAAAGATCGTTGCTCAGATTTCAATCAACAACGGCCCCTACTAACAGAGGGTGGTCTGCCTGTGTTTTAATCAAATGATTTAGGCAACTTTCGGTTTGCTAAGAATGGATGTGTTCGCCTTTCAGGTGAGTAAGAAAGGGACTGATTCACGATTTTGGTGATCTTGTCATTTCTTTGTATAACCCTCTTATAATCTGAGTAGATGAAGTAAGTAAAAGCTCACTGAAGAGAAGTTTAGATGAGAGTCACCATTACTTTCATATGACTAGCATAAGACAACGTCACGCTTATATAACAACATGTTTCACCGCTGTTTGTGTTATATTTAGCAATTATTTAGTATTATGTGTCGAATTATGGAGATCGAGAAGGTTTTAAATGCCGTGGTATATCTTGTGACAATCTCAAGATTGAGGAGATTACAATATTAAAGGAGGAAATCCTTTGCGCTGTCATAAACATTTTGGAACCTTTCGTGGTGACATTGTTCTCTTCTCAACATTGTGGAGCTGAAATTTTATTAATAAGTTGTTTCACTTCTTCGACTGGCTGATTGAAAATGTCTTTGTCAGAAGAGGTAAGTCGTGTCGAAGCGTTTCCCTGTGTGGGGAAAGCGGATAGGAACACCACAGGGAGCCCACAAAATCTGTTTGTGTAGCCGATTGTTATTTTATAGTAAATGTACTGGATTTACCGTTTGGTTCACCTATAGCGATATATCGCTAACTATGTATATAAATCAATGATAAATAAACGTTGAATTACCTTACCTGTGGTATATAGTCGTCCTTTTACCTCAAAAGCGGTTTTTTGAGCGATTTTGTCAACGGCGAACTCAAATTTATTCAAAATCGCTCAAAAAAACGCTTTTGAGGTAAAAGGACGATTATATACCACAGGTAAGGTAATTCAACGTTTATTTATCATTGATTTATATACATAGTTAGCGATATATCGCTATAGGTGAAGCAAACGGTAAATTCAGTACATTTACTATAAAATAACAATCGGCTACACGAACAGATTGTGTGGGCTCCCTGTGGGAACACAAGATCTATCAATTTTATTTTCAAGCTCTGCGCGAAATATTAAGTAACATGATAGCACCAAGAGAGTCCATCCACTCAAGATTTTGAAATCCTTCCTTGCTCGAACATTCCCGCTTTCGGCTCCCTGTACCATTTCTCTTTCTATGCAGGTTGTTTTCCAGACAGAAACCACAGAAATCCCAGAAGACGCGTTCAAATATTGGCCAGCTGAAGGCAGCAAAGGTATAGTAATAATAACTGCATTAACAAAAAACACACACAATGCACTTATTTTCGTTAATTTAGCAGTCACGAAACAGTTACATTATAAAGCAGTCTTTATTGTATTCTTCAGAATCGGTTTTTCAAGGCGGGAAACCTTCACACGCCCCCACTTCAGATCTTTCATTAGACCGCCTAAACGTGCTTGGCCTACGCGAAATCTTACGGCCGGGCTAATTAGTAGTCTACGAAACAGTTATTTGCTTAAGAAACTAGCTGAGGCCCAGAGTAGGTTAGAATCACACAATATAGTGTCGCTCTATTCCCCTTAACTGAAGGCATTTCTGACCCGCCATGCATCACACAAGCAACATATCCAAAGCTGAGGCGAGAATGGAAATTTAATTCATGAAGATTTATTACAGCTTTTCTTTCTTTAGATTCGCTTCCATTGGCGACTTTGGACGTGCGAAGTTTGCCAGCGGCTTTCTCGCTGCTCAAAAAGACAAAGGCAGATAGTCATCATGGCTATATGTCTACCATGGTTGTTGGTGAAGAAAATCATGTTTAAAATGCTTGGTTAATATCTATGAGCCGCGGAGAAGCTTTGAAATAGTTATCACAATTGCAAAATGATACAGGGGCACCCAACGTCAATTTTCGGAAAATATCTGTTCGGAAGACGATTTGAGATCTAGAATTTTCGGAACATTTGTTGTAAAATTTCTTGCTTGCCTGCCTCTCCTAGGATTTTCGAAAAATCTAAAAAATGGTATAATTACCCATTTTTAACGGATTTTTACCCTAAAAAGGTCACCCAGAATTTCCGGGAGCCTTTATCTGGCTGAAGTTTTCGAAAAGATAAGTTTTGATCCCTTTTTTGGATCGCTAGACTTTCAGCTAGGAAATCCGAACAGATGAAAAATTTTTCAGGACGGGATAAAAATATACCTATATCTACCTTTTAATACTAAAATACGTTTAACAGTGCTATGTTTAAGTGGTTTTGAACTTATATTCTCGTTGGGTGCCCCTGATGATACAATAAGAAAAAAAACCATCGCTTTTGACTACATTTAAAGCGTTCCTATAAGGAAAAGATTAAAAATTTTGTAATCACTATAATCTGTTTCTTATGATATGCTTGGTTCTCATGGCATGTTTGGTCGTTGGCGCGAAGATCATTGATAAAGCACTGATCTCTGACGATAGGTTTTACCCTTCCAAGCACACAAATCGGGAAAGTAAGCGTTAAGAGAATTCGAGCGACTTCGGCGTATGAACAACAAGGGGAAAACTAACTCTGCAACTCGCTTGGTTAGCCTTGGCGCGAAAGGAATTCGTCACTATTCCAAGGTAACTGGGATCTGCTACTACTGGAAACAGGACAACAGTTTAATCTTCAGCTCGTGAACGTAAATCATACAGTCAAGTAAATCCGCAATGTAAATCGAAAAACACGAATAACAGTGCTCTATTTTTACTAACCGATCAACTTATTACAACATCACAAAACAAATGGAAAGAAGGCTAAATAAAATCAGCTGACCAGCGACAACAAATCTGGATAAATTCAGTTTTAAAGTTCATGTGTTAAACTAAATAACTCAAAATTAAATGTCTGTCAAGCAAGTGAATTTAGGAAACCTACAAAGAAAGCTGTGTAAAAGAATTCGAGTTTCCTTTGCTCAGGATTCCCTAAAATGTCAACTAAAAACTACGAACAGTTGGTAATTGAACAGGCGAAAGATCCAGTTACTCAGTGACTAATTTAAGCTGTATAATTATCCAGAAACAAATTATCCTTTTAAAAGTAAGCATTGAAGTAAAATGTGTATAATTTAAGGGAACTAAAACAACTCAATGCAAATTCAATGTAAATTACGGTTGAAACAACTTTAAAGGGAATATTTAAAAGCTCGATAAAGAATTCAAGGTAAATAAAGAATTCATGGGAAATCTCTTCTTACAACTCAGTAATTTTGGTTTTGCTTGCTTTGCCTCACAAACATCGGGTTTGTGCGGTGCTATTCTCTCGGCTCCGGCGTAAAGCTTGTTGCACGCTTGTGTTTAATTTTGCTTTATTCAGTAATTTTTGTTTGCGAGCTTTGCCTCACAAACATCGGGTTTGTGTCGTGCTTTTCCTTTGGCTCCCGTAAAGCCGGTCAGTTACACGCTTTTGTCTACGCTTTAGTCAGAACTTTGTTTTGCGTGTTTTGCCTCACAAACACCGGGTTTGTGCAGTGCTACTCCCTCGGCTTCCGTCAAGTTTGTTGCATGCTTGTGTTTATTTTGCTTTATTCAGTAATTTTTTGCTTTACGTGTTTTGCCTCACCGACATCGGGCTTGTGTAGTGCTTTTCCCTTCGGCTCCCCTCAAGTTTACACCCTTTTGGTTTTCTTTGTTTAATTCAGTTTGCTTTTGTTGTGTGTGCTTTGCCCAACAAGCTCCAGTTTGTGCAGTGATTTTTCCCCGGCTCCCCTCGAATTTGCACGCTTTATTTTTGCTTTGTATTATTCAGTTTTAAGTTTGTGTTCTGCGTTCTTTCCCTCACTAATTTATTCTAGCTTTCACCGATTCCCGTAAAGTTGGTTCATCATTTTTGTTGCATTTGTGCCCTATTTGGTCAATCTGTTCGGCGTGTTTTATTTTACATTGTTTACAGTGGTGTTATTTCCTCGGCTCCTGTAGATTTTGAATGATAATGTTTTCCTTTGCATTTTTCTGTAATTTGGTAAGCGTGTTTCGCCACGCGGCCTCCAGGTCTGCTGGTTTACTCCCTTGTCCCCGTGTATTTGCTCCCTTGTGTTCCTAGTTGTTTTTCTATTCTTTTTTTTTATGTGTGCTATTCGTTCCTCGCCTTTTCTGCCGTTATTTCATATGTTTTTCTTCCTGCGCTTCCATGGTAGCCTGAAAGGGTGTCTAATACCCTAGTCGGATAACTGACGCTCAAGCTGCCATCACTTGGGTGATCACTTCTCTGCGCCTTACGTTTCCTTTTTACCTTGGGCCTTTATCTCCAGTTTATTTGGTTGTTGCCACTCAAGGGTTGGCAGCCTATTCGTGTTTTACCACGCCGTTCTTTTGGTATTCCCTGAAAGACCTCCTTGCCCAGCTCTCAGCAAGTATCAGCAGTCTAGTTGTTTCACTATACTCTGAGTTTGTGAGTACGTATGTTCCACCCCTTCACCTTCAGTGTTGGAGAACTGGGTTTTTCTCTTCTTTGAGTTTTGGGACCCGGTTTTGAGTTTTGGTAGTGTCTGGGTTCTTTAGGACGTATCTGACGTTCAACTTCTTGGCGCGGTTCCATTTCTCCGTCTCTTATTCAGCGAGCGTGAAAGGGACTGTCGGGAATAGTATGCTATTAAAGCTATATGGACATTTAATTCTGTTGTCTGCATCTTATAGCAGCAGGGGCAACCTCGTTCCCAGGTTCTCTCTCCTAGGACGGGTAAGAGAGAACCCTGGGAACGAGGTTGATGCAGACGTACATTCAAACTTAAAATCTATAATTAAAAAAATAATCTTCAGCGCTGACTCGTTTCCTGAGCTCGGCATTAAAATTCAGGGTCGCAGATTCTTCCTTGTCGTTGTAGTTAACAAAGTTTTATAACGATGCACCAGTATATGATGGAGAATCGTTCATGTATCTTGACTCGTACCGTGGTACGAGAAGGCTGTTCTGGTCTCGAAAGAAGTAAGCGCTAACGCGATTTTGGCCAATATTTTTGGCCCTATAAAAAAGTCCTAGAACATCTAACTTATAATAAATAGACAAGGTAGGCCACTGAACATATCTGAGCACGTCCTCTGACGCCATATCCTTAGCTAAATTACAGATTATGCGTGCCGCTCTATAGTGAAGTCTTCCTATTGACTTGAGATCAGAATTGCAACACGAACCCCACAAAACTAAACCGTAAGTTTTGTGGGCTTCATGTTGTAATTCTGATCTTTTTACGTTTATAGAAAGACTTCCCTGAAAAGCGGCCCTTATAATTTATTGACAACACCTGCTTCCATTAATGCGACGTTTAATTTAAAAATTAATTGGTTTGTTTTACCCCGCTACTCATAAGTTTTAATCGCTTATCGCCACAAGTCAATCGATTGACATTGTTTATTTGCAGTTTAATTTATGCTTCGCTAACAGCCAGCCAACGGGATGCTATTTAAATATAATATTCTTAGATAATAAAATTTTATTTGTTCAAAACGCTGCAAGATTTACATTCAAAGACAGCAACAAATATAAAAGTCCGTCGTCGGAAGTATTAGACATTGCTGACGTGTTTTATAAAATTACTATTGGACGAATATTTTGTAGCTTTGAAAGGTTATACACTTCGCTTGAGGGAAAAGTTTTTTACCGTTTGTATCTGTGATTGAAAAGGGCCGGTGAAACAGACTTTTGCGAGAAACCTTACTCTTTCTTCTTTGATTAATGTCAAGGTAAGGTCTTGTAGCTCAGTTATGCATGGCGTTTCCTAATATTAAATTCTAGGATCGCGATTCTTGTCCTACTTCGCTGCTCTTCTTTTTTCTTTAATTTGATGTTGTCACTTACACCAACTATCATTGGGGTGAAAATTAACCCACAAACTTTTTCTCTATCTTCCAAAGCGTAAAATTTTGTTTGTTGGCTGGCTATTTTCTTTTCGCATTTAAATTTAACATGCGCCATAAACTAAACACAGACTAGACCTTAATCACGATACCCTCCATCGTAAAACGCGCTTTGGATTGATGGGATAAATGCAGTGTCACGTGGTTTCTCAGGAAGGTAAACAGATGATGTAAGCAATCGCGGTAGAGATTGTTTTTAAAATATTCTCTTAAAACGAGACAACGATTTTAGTCGCACAAAACGTACTAGTTTCGACAATGTTTACGTAAATATTGCTTGCTGTGAAGGCATCTACGGAGTTCTTCCTTTTCTACTGCCTAGAATTAACAGACTCGACCGCGATTTCCTGGCTTGTATTGGTAAATTTCTTCAAATGCTTGAGAGACCACATGACATTGCTAATATTTTATCCCATCAGTCCTCATCGGAACGTTCAATGGCGGCGGGTATAAAATATATATTGTCTTGTAAGTAATCAATCGTGTTTGGAAGCTTCTAAAACTTCCTTAGGTTTTTCCGGATTTTATGGCAAACATGGTTATAATTCCATCGGAAAATGCTTCCTCGATACGCTTTCAAGTCAGACGTATCTGGCCCTTTCTGAAGTCTGTTTTATTTCTTTTTCCGTTTTCTTGAATCATCACGAAAAGTTGGATGTGTGAATCTTTTTGTGTGACCTTTAGCTACGTGCAAACGGATGCAACAACTCCCAACATTGTTGGCCCAACAATGTTGCTACCGGTTTCAAACTTTGCGCAACAAATCCCGGTAAACGGACACAGCATGTAACATCCAACAATGTTGGGAGTTGTTAGCCAACAATGTTGTATCCGTTTTCACGGGCGGGCTTTTGACTTAAGTATATGTTTGTCGTTTTCTTCTCTGTATTGTCAAACACTGAAATTGATTGTCTCTTTCCAACACAAAATCGGAGAATCCTGACAGATGTACTGCACCAGTCACAGTTATTGAAGCCAACAATGTTGCGTGTTAATTGCGTCTGTGTTCTGTTGCAGAGGTGTACAAACGGATGCAACAACTCCCCCAAATCGCAACTTTAATATGCAACAGGGTGTGAAAAAGGACGCAACATGTAATATCCAACAATGTTGCGTCCGACTTTGCACGGGGCGTCCTAACATCGTTGGATGTTACATGTTGCGTCCGTTTGCACACCTTCAAGGTACACCCTGTTGCAAGATGTTGCACGTTGTCGCGTCGTGTTGTTGGGAGTTGTTGCGCAAAGTTTGAAACACGTAAAACGTTTAGCTACGTGCAACAACTTTCAACATTGCTGGGCGTCCTGTGTCCGTTTGCACATAGCTTCAGCCTAATAATAACTGATTTAGTTTGAATTTCATTTAAATAAGTTTTGAACAATCTGAACAAAAACTGAACGCGAAGGATAAAGTTATTCATATTTTAGTATCTGAATGTTATATATATGTAAACTCTTGACACGATAAAAAGCCCAACTGAAACGCACTTCCGACAAACATATCCCGCGACCAAAGTAAGTTTTTGGACGAAGTGACCGTACACACGAAGTGAGAAGTGAAGAAAAGTTGAGCTCTGCAGGGAGGGAGTTGGAAACTGAATGGATGACCAGCGGGGAATATCTCGTCGTGAGAACTTCTGTTTCCCTCTCTTGCTTTCTTCTTTTTCTTGTTTCATTGATTTGATCTTATAAAAAGAAGAAAAGGAAAGCAAAAAACCGGCATTCAACTACTGTTCATTTATGACCGATCGATGCTGTCCAGAGCTCAAACCAGTTTTTGATTCAATGGTGTGCACTAAAGCGCCAGCCAAGTTCAATTGCATCTCAGCATTTCATGAATTCAGGGTTAGAATGTCGTGGAAAAAGTAAGTTTTTGGCGGTAAAAAGCCGAGCTGAAACGCACTGCCGACACTGAGTGCATAACCCGCCACCCTAAGAAAACTCGTGAACAGGAGAAAGGCACTGAAAAACATTATTTCAACTTGATTTTAATAGACCTTGTCACGGTTTTCGACGCCACCTTGACGAGTAGGCAAACGAGTGAGAAATTATAGTGTTTGTATGGGAATCTAATAATAATAACAATAATAATAATAATAATAATAATAATAATAATAATAATAATAATAATAATAATAATAATAATAGAATTTATATAGCGCTTATACATCGCTGTTCTATGCGCTAAATGTTCTAATCATGTCGAATAATTTCCGTAGAACGGCTGTTCTGAAAAAAATATCAATTGTAAACTAAAGCTACAAAGCAAAGGATTGTCCGAAAAAATTTTGGAGGCGTACCTGTGCTTAAATTTAGATTTTCTATATATTTGTTTGTAATTTTCCCGAGACGTTCTTACAGACAAACTGAATGTATAGGAAATTTAAAACGTGGTTCTAGGTCTTCCAGTGCATGTAACGCCCTCAAATTTTTTCAGTAGAATCCGTAAGAGTGAAGCTTTTACAAATCATATTTTTTTCAGAACAGCCGTTCTCCGGAAATTATTCGAAATTAGATTCTCAGTACAAACACTGTAATTTCTCACGCGTTTGCCTACTCGTCAAAATGGCATCGAAAACCGTGACAAGGTCTATTCGCCCTCATTTTGAAATTACTGTTCCAAATATCTTCAATGTCTTCTGCTTTTTCCGTCGAAATTATATTAATCACCAAAAACGGAAGTCAAAGGAATCTGGATATGGGCCACCCAAGTTTGCAGGCCGCAAAAGTATACTAAACCTTCGCTACGCAAGGACCTCCTCACGGTTCTCAATAATAACTAATAAAACACGGGCTGAAAATCGATGAAGTCGATCGAGAAAGCGGCCTTTTAACAGTCGGGAGTTTTAGATTTTCATTTTTGCTTGTTTCAATAAGTAGATAACAGTTGACATTAAAATTTCATGCTAAGAAACACTCAACGGCAAAAATATCATAAACAGACATTCCAAGATGGTACTTAATGGTGGCAAAAGCAAAACGAAACTACAGCGTGAGCGTTACCAGGTATTGTCCGTCATTCGGACTTTCCTTTTAACCATGCACTTCATATTTATATAACTTTTTTCTTTCATTGCTAACACGTTTCTTGTTAAGGAGTTTCATGATAAAGAAACCTTAAAATCTCAAAAATCGAAATGCATGGAGCATTCCATTTCGATCCGAAGACAAGTAATTGCTAAACAGGTAACATTCAAATCATGATCATATTTGAGTGAATTTCTTCCTTCAATCACTCTCCGTTGTTTATATGAAAATGACATTTTAACAAAGGATTTTTCCTCAAGCAAAACAAATAAGTTATTTATAAGCACGTATTTATACGGGATTAATTTTTAGTTCCCACTTTCACTGATGACTTTGTTCCCTTTCACTCACGGAAGATCAGAGTAACACACATAAATTCTTAACGGCACTCATCAAAACCAGGGACCAAAAAACGAAATTTTTGTGACATAATAGTATACTGAGGAGACGCAGGTGTTTAACGAGCTCATTAAATATTCATTAAATTGAATTAGAACATCGTAGTGAAGAAGTTATAAAGGTCAAGTAAATATATTTTTGTTGCATAATGTTCCTTGCAGACACATGATAAAGGTGACATACTGATATCTACTCCTACGATGATAAAAAGCAAGAGTTTTGGTATTTTGATACTTCTTTTATTTTCCCGCTGTTGTCAAACCAAGGAGACCATTTATATTGGCGGGCTTTTTGGCCTTGACACAAGTCGTGGTGGGTGGAATTCGGCGGGAATTATTCCTGCTGTTCAAATGGCCTTTGAGGAGATAAACAACAGCTCCAAAGTTCTCAGAGATTACCACTTGGAACTGCTGATTAAAGACTCCCAGGTTAGACGAGAAAAACTAGGTCCGTCCTTAAGAATCATTTTTTGTTTATAAAATGATACCTTATAAAACATTTATCCTCGTTCACCACAGATTAATACAGCATACATTTCAAATCTTTATTTGACTGAGAATCTTTGATAAAGTAATCAAATGAACAGAGCGTCGTCTGCTAAAAAGCAAATTCTTTATTTCAATAACCTCCGTCTTTCTTGAAAAGCACCTTTTTTCCCATGATATCATGATGATATACAAAGAAAAGGATATCATAAAACGAAACCTTAACATTACTCTGGGAGAAATAGCAGATGCTATTAGAAAGTTGCCACGCTTCTTTTTTCAGTTATTGAGTCAGCTTTTTACCACACTCTAATGAACAAACATACAGCACCTACGTTATTTGCTTTTATTCAACACGGTCAAAGCCTTTTTAGCAAATAAACTATACGTATTAGAAAACGTCCGTTTTCAAAAATCTCCTCCTTAAGTCCTCCTTGGAGACCATTTATGAAAACCTGCGTTTTTGGTGCCTGAAAACCCCGTTAACGTGTGGACGGAAGGCTAGAGAGCCGAGAAAACGCGTGGACTAGGCCTTTGTTTTGATTAGTATGAGGGGAAGAAAGCCGTGAAATTTACAGATAATTAAGAGTATTGGATCATTGCCCAAAAGACTTCGATCTGTCTGACATAATTAAAGTTTGGCTGTTGTGCAAACCTTTCACGATCGGTTAAAAATCTAGAAAATCCGTACTTCAAAACTCAAATCTGTATATCTAAATTGATCACAGCTACATCATATGCTATGATCAAATACGCTGCGTGTGGACGCGTTTGTTTTTGAAAACGGAGAAAAAAAAAATGTAAGTTTTCAAAACACGGGACGAAAAATGGATTTGCACAAAGTTGCTCCTTGCAAATATGTCGCAAATGTATAAATACTGAGGAGTAAATATATGGCAAACATGGCAAATGCCACATTTGTCTAGTTATTTACACCCCCTGTCTCAGTGGTATGCAAATATGGCATTTACCATCTCTGCCATTCATTTACTCCTCAGTTAGTTTACATTTTTTCGACATATTTGCTAGGAGCAAATTCAGTTGGGCAATCCATTTTTTCGTCCAATGAAATGGACGGAATGGATAAGTGCCAACCAAGGCCTAAATCTCCGAAGCAAAATAATACCATTTTTCAGCATTTTATGTGGAGCGGTAGAAGGACTCAGTTGGCATGTATAGTTTCAACCGTTTCATTCGCGTTAGATTATCCCCCTTAACTAGTGTTGTGCGTAAAAAGCAACAGAAAACTTTGGAATTCAAGATCTGGTTCTCCTAAATTTGTGTGCTTCTTTATCTGTTTAGTGCAGTGTAGGAGAAGCTATACGGAGATCATTAGAGTACTTATCATCAGGGGAACCTAAAATCATGTTCTTAGGACCAGCATGTTCTAAAGCAGCTTTACCGGTCGCTGAGTCGATTCATTACTGGAATGTAGTTCAGGCAAGTCTAATGACACTTCTGAAAGAGTTATGTACTTATTATTAAAAAAAAACCTTAACTTGCCTGAGGAGGGAGAGAGAGCGAGAAAGAAAAAGAAAGAGAGAAAAAAATTACTTGAGTGACAAGCTGTTTGACTCTAGCTAATTGAAATGTTAATAAAAAGAGAAATTTTAGAAACCTTTTAGGAATGCTTTGTCTGTCAAATTAAGAAATGTCAATTAACACGTCTTACTGAATGAGCAAACATAGTAGCTATACCACTTACATTCTTAAAAGAAATTTTCAAACGAGTTTCTGAATCAATTCAACTAACACATCTTTCTTCTCGGTAACGCCCCATCGATCAGGCTTAACTGGCTATTCAACTGTAAAAAACCCAGGCTTATTAGGGTCGGAGTTGACGGACTGGTTTTACTTTCTGCCCGGGTTTTAATCACTTAATAACAATGAACACTTAGTTCAATACAAATCGTTTACTTTTCTTAGATTGGTTTTTCCTCTTCGTCTCCTTTGCTGTCATCGAAATCGCTTTACCCGCTATTTTTTCGAACAAATCCTTCAGAAAAGTTCTCTAACCTTGGACGGATTGCAATTCTGCGACGGTTCAACTGGAAGAGAGTTGCCATCCTTCAACAGAATAATGATGTCTTCACAGGGATAAGTAATTCTCTGGTAGATATGCTGAAGGCAGCTAATTTCTCAGTCCTCGCTTATGAGAGTTACAAAGATCATCCAAAGTTTGCTATAGAAAATCTGAAGGTAAGATAACTTGTAGCCTTTTTACAGATATTTTTTCTTTCCTTTTTTATCTTCGAAGAATTCAACCCCCCCCCCCCCCCCTTTCCTCTGCCCGTTGTTATACATATATTTTATTTTTTTACTGATGCTGTTCAAAACAGTCTTGTTTTTACTAAATTTTTTGGTAGAATATCTGAAGGCAACTAAATTTCCAGTCCCCCTTTAATAAGGTTAAAAAGATACATCAAAATTTTTTATAAAAAATTTTAAGGGAAAAAAACTTTTTGCCTTTTTTCAAATATTTTTTTTTTCTTTTTTTTTTTTCCAAACCCCCCCCCCCCCCCCATCCTCTTGCACTTCGGGTCGTGAATAAATTCTAACTGTTTCATTTGGCCGATGGAGCCGATATATCTTGTCTGTGAATGTAAGACGCAAAGAATAATAATGTTGTCTTATCCCGATTTTAACTCTTACATTGAGCTTATGGTCAAGATCACTTCCGTTTTCCCTTTTAAGTACGTCTGCCGTGGAAATTAATTATTTATCGCTACAAGATTATTTTTGACCGACGGACGGTCGGGCGGTCGGTGTACGGTCACATGATTACCAAATTTTCTCTGATGGGTAGATTACTTCATTTTCTTATCCATGGTGCTCCGCTGGCGCGCTTCGTGCGTGAGAGCTCAGCTATAAATACAAATTCGAGTTTCTGCCTTGCGCTGATGACGCGCGTTCCCGAGCAACGCCAGTTCCAATAAAATTGTAATCTCGTTTCGCAGTGAACAATCATGATAAATTCGAGAGATTAAGGTTCACGTTTACTGCAAACGGCAAACGTCAGACTCAAGTTGAGAATTTCTCAGAATAGAAAATAAGCAGATAAAAACAGTCCCGAAAGATTCATATGGTTAAAACTGGGATAAAACTACTTCTTTTTGTGTAGAAGTAATAAAGTGTAAACGGAAAATAAGGGGAAAACTTGGTCACGTGGTACAAATTCACGTCTGCCGTTTTGGAGTAAACGTGAATCTTAATCTCCATCATTCGTAATCAGCACCATATTTATCAAAGCATTCATAGCTCTACTTTGATATATCACTTTTGCAGAAAAAAGATGCTCGCATAATGTTTGCATTCTTCTATCCTGACCAACATTACGTCGTATATTGTGAGGTAATCATTTTCAGAGAGTAGGAATTAGCTAGTGAAGACATCTGCATATAAACTGTCTCTGAGATTATGAATGTACCCGGAAAGCAATTGTGAACGTCTAAATAAACATGAATTTGACGTGTGAATGGCAGCAATGGAATAATGCCCAGCCTGCTACATTGTCTAAAGTACGTCCCTGCGTACGTAGTTTAGACGGAGTCCTTTTTCCTTGTGGTAAATAATCGCCTTTTAACAAATATCACGAGACCCCGGTTGCTCAAACGTTGGATAGAGTATCCCGGATGAATCACCATCAAGCAAATAAGTGTTAGGGAGACCAATAGCTTTATCCTCTCAATAGGGATTTATCAATCAGTGGATAGCGTTATCCATCCTCTGAAAAACTAGCACCAAAACTCTATAAATGATACAGTCAACTCTCTCTAAGACGGACACCTTTGGGGCCGGCACTAAGTGTCCGTCTTAGAGAGGTGCCCGTCTTATAGAGAGTCAAATAAAGGGAGTAAAGAAAGGAAGGGACCACCTTTAAGTGTCCGTTTACAGAGGTGTTCATCTTATAGAGTTGTCCGTTAAGAGAGAGTCGACTGTATACAGTCGACTCTCTCTTAACGGACACCTCTATAAGACGGACACCTCTGTAAAACGGACACCTAGAGTTGGTCCCTACCTTTCTTTACTCCCTTTATTTGACTCTCTATAAGACAGACATCTTCCTTACACTCACACTTAGTTCCGGACCCAAAGGTTTCCATCTTAGAGAGACTTGACTGTAGATTTTTTTTGTTTTGCTAAAATAACACCAATTTCCACTTTTGTAGGCGTTTAAACAAGGCATGTTCGGTCCTAAATATGTTTGGTTTATATTCTCGGGTCGGAATCAAGACAACTGGTGGAAAGTAAAAAGCCCGCTTGTTGATTGCACTCCAGAACAAGTACGAAAGGGATTGAGCAACAACATCGGAACTGGCGAGTTAAAGTTAAGTCCCCTCCCTGGGACAACAATTTACGGAAAAGTAAGTGTACAGGAGATGGAGTCCGCTAGGTATAGGTTTCACTGAAGTAGTGGGAGGTCGGGGGGGGGGGGGTGGGTTGAAGTAGGGGCGAGACCTTGCTCCTCCCCTACCATGTATTTTCGGCTCCCCCTTTTCCCTGGTTTCCTCTTTTTAACAATTAAGCATTATTGCGTGATTCCTCTCTATTTCTCCCGCTTCCCGCATTTTTTGTACTCCTACCTCCTTCTCTTTCCTCTCTCGCTTCCCTTACCCCTCCGGCCCCCTATTCTTCCCGGCTCCCACCCCATGGCCTCTCCCCACTGCATTAGTTGGTACACATAAATTGCAAACTCTTTGTGCAATATATGTCATATTGATGCATAACCAGTCGACCTCAACACTTGATGAAAACTGTAACACTGTCTAAGCAGTCAAAACGTTGCGATGCATTGGTCAAGTGATTTATAAATTACATTTTGAGACGGACGATGACAATGCAATACGATAAATGATTATGATCTTTTTCTGATATCAAAATTTTTGTCGATTTATTGAGTGTTAAGACAATTCTTTTCCGTGCACTAGTTAATTATAATCAAAATTAGATCAGACATGTTAATTTCGACTTGTATGGTTTATCGTGACTTATACAATATGAAANCGAGACCTTGCTCCTCCCCTACCATGTATTTTCGGCTCCCCCTTTTCCCTGGTTTCCTCTTTTTAACAATTAAGCATTATTGCGTGATTCCTCTCTATTTCTCCCGCTTCCCGCATTTTTTGTACTCCTACCTCCTTCTCTTTCCTCTCTCGCTTCCCTTACCCCTCCGGCCCCCTATTCTTCCCGGCTCCCACCCCATGGCCTCTCCCCACTGCATTAGTTGGTACACATAAATTGCAAACTCTTTGTGCAATATATGTCATATTGATGCATAACCAGTCGACCTCAACACTTGATGAAAACTGTAACACTGTCTAAGCAGTCAAAACGTTGCGATGCATTGGTCAAGTGATTTATAAATTACATTTTGAGACGGACGATGACAATGCAATACGATAAATGATTATGATCTTTTTCTGATATCAAAATTTTTGTCGATTTATTGAGTGTTAAGACAATTCTTTTCCGTGCACTAGTTAATTATAATCAAAATTAGATCAGACATGTTAATTTCGACTTGTATGGTTTATCGTGACTTATACAATATGAAATATTAACTGGATTGGAATCAGTGTGATCTTAACACTTTCTTTCTAAAAAATCGTAAAAACTTAATTACCAAGTTAATACCTTCCTTTCCTTTTCTGTCACTTGTTTTAGACACCCGGAGAGCTTTACTTTGATTACCAAGGACGACTCAACAAGTCAGGGTACCCCGAAAATACGTTCGCTTCGTACGGATACGACGCCGCCTGGACTTGCGCACTGACTCTCAATGCCTCTATTGATGTCTTACAGCAGAGAAACCTGACACTAACTGATTTCAACTACAGTCGTTCTGACATGAGCAAAATCTTCGTTGACATTATGAAGGGAATTTCGTTTCGAGGAATGACGGTAACTTACATAGTCGTACATAAGTTTTTCTAGTATCAGAAATCTATATCTAATAAACCCATATCGTTCAGGACGTTACACCAAGGACCTGATCTTGAGTACAAGGATAGCGAACCATGGTGTTTGGGAAGAAATCTCCATGAATGTTTCGTCCACTCTGCTAGTTGAAGGATGATGATGATATCGTACAGACATTCTAGTTACACAAAAAGAGGATAAAACAGTTTAAGATGTGATCATTATATTATGTCTAAATTTTACTACGTATTCAACCTTTTAACATAAGTGAACTGTTCCCGATTTATGATGCTTTAGATAAGAAATTAGGGACATTTTTGGATGGCGTATTTGATGATAAGAACGAAGTACCGGCGATTTAATTGTATTACTGAATAGGACTCAGGCTCCAAGTATTGAAATACTGGCCCAGTGCTCACTGTCCACGCATGCGCACCACCACAATTTCGTTAACGCGGAATAGACTTCTATGGGCCTTTTCCGAGTTCCATAAACTCTCAGTTTCAAAACGAGGCAAAGTGCAAAACCTTTGTTTTGAAAATGAGTTTTCTTTGCATGAGAATTAAAAATCATTTTCATATCGATCACTTTGAACTTGGCCAAGCTTTGATACTGAAGCTTAACTCTGAAATGGTCTATTGAATAATTGTATCACTCACAATTAAACCATAGACGTCTTTATTAAATAAAAGTTAATCCATGCATCTTTTATATTAACATTTTTGCAGGGTCAAGTGAAATTTGACAATAACAATGACCGGATAGCAAAGCTGGAGGTTAGACAGATACAAGGTACATGCCTGTTCCTCGAGAATCAAGACGATTTCAAAGTAAACGATGGTATTAATTTGAGTTTTGAATCAAATTTTATTCTTAGGGGATACTGAGAGAAGAGTTGCATTCTACAACATGGAAAGTGACACTTACGAAGAGGATAATGACAGCAATTACTTGTGGGATGGTAAGAGGACTTTCGGTTAATAAAATGGATAAATTACACAGCCAATTATATGCAGTGAAATTAAGGAAATAGTAATGATAATCTCAAATGGCTAAGATCCTCGACGGAATGTCGCTTTTACAGAATCAGCACTACAGAGGGCTCGGGAGGCTAATCAAGATTAACTTTTTTCTAAGGCTGTATGTCTTTTGATGTAAATAGAGAATGGAAAAACCGCTCGCAAACAATTCAAATACCTTAAATCCTCTATTAAGCCCCCCCTTTCAAATAAACCCCTCCTCTCTAATAAGCTCTTCCTTTTCCGGGGAGGAAACTCAATAAGCACCAGGGCCCCCTTTCTTTTAAGCCTCCCTCCCCTCCTCCTTCTTCTTATTTATTCATAAATGATAGACTGTAATAATCAATCACGACTGTAAAACTGTGCAGTTTCGTGTGGACTGACGATGGTTTATTCACCAGCTGGAGGTTTTGATTTGGTTTTCATCCTCGACTGCATGACCTTGTACTTGTGCTTTTCCACTTTGCATTCTAGTTCTTTATTGTGAACTGATACCATCGTATGTGCTAAATTAAATAATCCAGGCTCTCCAATAAGCCCCCCCCCCCCCCAAGGGGGGGGGGGGGGTTTGAGAAAGCTTTTGGAGGGTTTTGAGGGCGACAAAAACCAATTTTTCAACCATTTTTAAAAATAAAGGAAATTTTAAAATAAAAAAAAAAAAAAAAAAAAAAATATTGATGGCATTTACTTAAAAAAAAATAAAAAAATACATCATACACTTATTTTTTATATAAACAAAACTTGTATGACTACTCGCCACCCACTTTTCCAAATTTTCCACTTTGCATTCTAGTTCTTTATTGTGAACTGATACCATCGTATGTGCTAAATTAAATAATACAGGCTCTCCAATAAGCCCCCCCCCCCCCAGGGGAGGGGGGGGGTTATAGAAGACTTACGGTAGTGTTTGAGAGGCACAAAAAGATTATTTTCAATCGTTATTATAAACAGAGGTAATTTTAGACTTGAAGGAATAAAATAAGAAAAAACCTGGATGGCATTTCATTCCAAATAAATGACATCAGACATCATTGCACTTTTTTTGAATCAATAAACATGTTGATAGCCATCACTAGCCACTCTTTCCAACACTGGGAAGTAGAAGTGTTTTAAGTGAATCATGTCTCATCAGAAATGACGGTTTGATCTTACACGTTCATTTTTCACGTCTTTGTCAATATAAGGTGGAAAAGTTCCTGTTGATGGTCTGACAATAGAAGAAAGGTTAGAAGGTGTCCATCCAGTGCTGTTCTGGTTTGTCTTCAGCCTTTCCGTCATTGGTGTTTTGATGGCTATTTGTTTTCTTATATTCAACGTCTACAATCGAAATGTCAGGTATAGAATCTCAGATTTAAGCATAGTTTACAAGTGCCGGGGCCGGGTGCCGTACCCTGGGTGAGGGGGACTAAAAAACTTTTTTTAAGGGGGGGGGGGGGGGGGGCTCCGCCCCGAGTCCGACCCCTTACCCTTTTAAATACCATCTTTAACAGAAAAAGTATACCTTTTCTATACCTTCTATTGACAAATGGTACCCCTTTCACCTGCCCAGTTTAGAACTTTGCATCCCTTCCAACTGCTGTGAACGTACTGTCTTTAAAATATGAATAAACCTCAGCGAGTAAACCAGAACGTTTTTTCTCCACTTTGGTTCAGCCATATAATGCATCTGAGTGTTAGAAAGCCCTTTTGAGCCTTTTACCGACCGAAATGACAGACTTCCCTTCATATACTTCAACAAGTGAAATCCTTACGCTTTCGTTTGCCGAATGAAGCCGTTTCTTCTTGCTCCTCGCCACCAGGGACGTTTTGCCAGGGGAAACGTCTGCGCCTCAGCGACAGGAATTCTATACTGATGGCCTAAATCAATGTTTACATAATATATCCGGTAGTCATGGTGTTCCAAATGTAAATTTGTTTGATTTTATCTTTCTCCTCGTCGACTATGGTAAAGTTTTGTGTTCTACTGCATGCAAACGAGCTCCAACAGAACTCTACTAAACTAAACTCTTTTTCTAAAGAAGAATAATTATATTCCAGGCATATCAACTGTTTTGTAGTAGATTCATTATGTTTACGACCCCATTTCCATTTGACCTTTGTAGCCTTTTGTCTTTTGTTTGTCATTCGTAAACCTTCGTAAACAATAGGTAAAATAATGTAACTCCTTTGTTGACCAATCAGAACTCCTGACAAGATTCTGTACAGATTTTACGTCATCAATATGGAATTTCTGTCGCTAAGGCGCAGACGTTCCTCCTGGCAAAACGTCCTAGCGGCGAGGAGCAGGAAGAAACGTCTGTATTGGCAAGCCATCGTATGCCTGAACCCTGAAGCCTGAAGGAGTATCTCCCGCGACGCCGTAGCACTTTCTGCACAGAGTATGATTCTTGCTGTCGTCATCTCGACTAATATAAACACCTTTCTTGAGTCCTCATAATCTGTCGTCATCTTTGTAGATCGTGGTAGGAGTTCAAAATGTTTTAAGTGTCTGCAGGTTGTGCAAATGACTGGAAGCATTTAATTTTCTAAACGCATTGGGAAGACTATGTAAGCCTCCTTTTAAAACGAATTATAAAAAAGCTACTGAGTTAGTATTTGCTTCGAGTATGATCGTTGTTGGCAAATTTAACGGTTTTGGCATAAGTAATATCCCCAAAAGCATTCTAAAATAAACATATCTTTGCACAACAAAGTACAAACGTATATGGGACAGTTTATCTCTAAGTTCCAATTTTTGGTTAATTTTCTCTTTCAGATACATCAAAATGTCTTCGCCTAATTTAAACGACCTAATTATAATTGGCTGCATACTTGTGTATATCTCCGGCATATTGCTGGGTATGAAAAAAGAAGAGAGTAGCATTGGCTGCCAGGTAATTAATGATATAACTAATCAAAATGACTGAGATAGGTTTTAAAAATCGAAGCGTCACACATCACGTGACAATGAACCAGGTCAGGAAGAGAAAGGTATGAACGTGACTATGCCTAGAAGTAAAAAATACCAAACTTAGGTTGACTAAGTTACTTATTACCCTGAGAAAACAGCAGAAATTTTGTGACGCACGGCTTCCAGTAGTTTACCCTTGAAATAAAGTACTAATGACGTGTCACTACCCAGATCTGAGTAGTGCTTCTGATTGATTGAATTGTTGTGGTACCACCAATCAGAAACACTACCCAGATCTGGGTAGTGACAAGTCATCAGTATGGAATTTCTGTAGTCGTTCCTCACACTTTATTTTCACGGGAAACCAGTGGTGGCGTCGCAAAATATAAAAAAAAATTAAAGGCGGATCCCTTTTTCGACATATTAACTAAATAAATACTGTTTCTTTTAAAGAATGTAAATATAATAAATTTCTTTTAAAGAATATAAAACAAAATAAAATATTCCTTTGTTGTTAGGCTGAATTATGGATTGTAGTCATAGGATTCACTCTAGGATTTGGTGCAATGTTCAGCAAGACCTGGAGGGTACACGTGATCTTCCTTAATTCTGCTACCACGAAAAGGGTAAAACATTTGTATCTAGTCAGAGCACCTTAGCTCACTTCCCTGCTAAAACAAAGCGTTAAAAATTAATTGAAATTATTTTCAGTTTTTGCGTGTGCTCTACGACGCTTTATTTGGCATACAGTCAACTCTCTCTAGGATGGACACCTTTGTGACAGGCACTAAGTGTCAGTCTAAGAGTAATGTCCGTCTTATAAAGAGTCAAATAAAGGGAGTAAAGAAAGGCAGGGGCCAACTCTAGGTGTCTGTTTTACAGAGGTGTCCATCTTATAGGGAGTCAAATAAAGGGAGTAAAGAAAGGCAGGGACCAATTCTAGGTGTCCGTTTTACAGAGGTGTCCGTCTTATAGAGGTGTCCTTTAAGAGAGAGTCGATTGTACCAATATTTAGGATCATCACTGAGAAATACGGTAATGGAGGAAAAAGGAAGTGGAGAAAAGTAAAGTTTAATACAAAAACGACTAGGAAGTATCAACAACCCCTCCGGCAGGAGGCAGCCAATTGGCTCTAACAAGCATGACCGAGGATTTAAACTCTGGCCTGGACGACCGAGAAATAAATCCAGCTATTGGTTATCATGATAGTGAGACTCGAACCCAGGACAGCTGGACGGCAAGTTTAACGCGCTGTATCTATCTGCCAGGCATTATTATTCCAAAGTAATGTAACTCGCGCGTATCGACGGTTGACTTCTGAAAAAAGGTTATATTATTGCACGACTTCGATTCTCTTTCATTTATTCCTAGTATCTAATCGAAAGCTGAGGTTTTTCTATTTGATATGAATGACTTTGTGCTGTTTTCTGCAATCCGCAGATTATCATCCGGGACCGACAGCTGTTTAGTATGGTTGCTGGGCTCCTACTGATAGACCTCGTTCTTCTGATCACGTGGCAAATTGTTGATCCACTGAGACTGAAAATTCAAAATTTGACACTAGAGGTAAAGAATCGTGATCGGAATATTGCTAGCCTTTATGACAACAACAACAACAGCAACGACAACAACAACAACAACAATAATAATACTAATGGTAATAAGTAAATGATAAAGAACCTATCGATAACGATAATGATAATAATGATTATTAAAAACCGAATCATTGGATAATGCATTTCTAGAGCCCTTATTGGCTTAGTCATCATCGTATATTAGCCATAATACCATGCTCTCCAAATGCGGTTGTTTTTACAAATAAAGTCGAGAAGAATTCTCGATATTTTGTGGGGGGTTTTTAGTAAAACAATTATTTCACTCGCGGTTGTTGCATTGGATAAGAGACGATTAATTATAGCCAACTCGGCGCTACGTGCCTTGTTGGCTATCTATCTACCATCTCATGTCCAAAGCGCACACGTTGTTAAGTACAGCTATCTGTTATGTATACCGTTGGTCATTTTGAGTTTGCGCCTGAGTCTAGGTTGATGTTGTTTCGAATGGGACTGTTGTGGGGACGCTGTTTCTTCTTTTACTGAGTATCACGAGGTTGTGCAGAATACTGGGCTAAAATTCGTTCCTTGAAACAGTCCAGCAATGCAATTTGACAAAAGGGCCAAGTTTAAGGTCAGTTTTTTATAATTCCTTTGCTTTTTATGTGCCAAAATATCAGCAGCATTTATGTCTTCTGATTCAGATGTCGTTAGAAGATGATGATACTGCCATACAGCCTTACGTTGCAACGTGTACCAGCCAGAGTATAACGATTTGGCAGATCTGCCTGTATGGATATAAAGGTAAATTAAATAGCTCGCGGCTTTAACAAGAAAGCGCGATAGCCTACAATGTGTTATACTCAGATTCTTAACAACAACGACAACGAGTTGCCAAATATCATGCCCTAACGGGTGTCGTATGCGTAGTTATGAAATAATTAAATGTGATTACTTAGTAACTGAAAGTCTTTTGCAACTACATTCCAAGCTTGTTTCCTTAGTCTGAAACGACACTACAGGAAATGTGATAAATGGGTAGAAAATGGTTACTTAATCGTCTGTCGTTTGTTGATGATTGTTATGCTTGATCCCTCTCACCTTATTCAACGCCAAGGACTTTTCCAAAGTAAAAGATTCGTATTAAACAATTCTGCTATTCTCAAAGTGAGTAAATAATCTTAATCTGCACGTAATTTGTCTTTTTTGTGACGCAGGTCTGTTGCTGTTATTTGGAGCGTATCTGGCATGGGAAACCCGAAAAGTGCATATTCCTGCCTTGAACGACAGCAAAATGATTGGCGTATCCGTTTACAACGTCATCATTCCATGCATTCTTGTAATTCCTATTGTCGGACTGGTCCGTGACCGACCAACAACACAGTTTGCCCTGACGTCATTTCTGACGTTATTCTGTACAACTCTTACACTGTGCCTCGTTTTCGTGCCGAAGGTGAATGAAATACAAAGCTAATTTAGCCGGCGAAAAAGCCATCTCTCCTAGCTCCTTATCGCTAGGGACGTTTAACTAGGCGAGAGACGTTTGCGCCTCAGCAACAGAAATTCCATACTGATAACGTAAATCAACGTTTAAATAATTAATTCAGTGGTCATAATTTTCAAAAATTAAGTTTGTTCGATTTTAGAGCAAAACTCAAATGCTTCTTCCAAAGAAAAATATATTCAACGAATGTTGACTGTTTTGTAATAGACTCATGGCGTTTACATTTGAACTTTGTGGCCTTTTGTCTTTTGTCTGTCATTCGTAGATAATAGCTAAAACTAGATAACTAATTAGTAGACCAATCAGAGCTCCTGACCGGATTCTGGACATATTTTACGTCATCAGTATGGAATTTCTGTCGCTGAGGCGCAGACGTCTCTCCTGGCGAAAAGCCCCTTGCAGCGAGGAGCGAGAAGAGATGGCTGTTTTCGCGGGCTAACAAAGACTTGGTTCTATCAATTAAGTTGATAAGATAGATAAGGCACCGGACAGTGGCAGATCCAGACCTTCAGATAAGGGGGAAGGGGAGCCCGATCATCTATACCCTGAGATAATGGGGCGGGGTGGGGGGCGGAGCGGCATCAAAAAGGTTTTTTTCGGCCCTTTGGACCTCAGTTTGGTATAAAAATAAGGGGGGAGAGGGTGGGCCCTTCCCCTGGATCCGCCTCTGCCGTAGGAAAACTGAGAAGGTGAAGTTTCGAGCGCTAGCCCTTCGTCAAAGGCAATCAGGTGATTGTGAGTTGGAGCTTTGTTATTGGTGGGAACATCACCAACATGGTAACGTGGAAAACAGGAATGAACTGAAAATTCTTCCCTGATTTCGTGCGGATTTATAGTTTTAATTTGTTCTGAATGTATTGCCTCGTTGAATAGAGAGACCTCATATTAGCAGGTTTTGGCAGAAATGAATCGGGAGATTTTAAATGGCGATCTAGTTGTTTTTCAGTGCGTCATTTTCATTTCCGTTCAACATCTCAAAGATATTAGCGGAAACGTTCGCCATGTTTTTGGCCTGTTTCGCCTATGTATAAATTCTTCCGTACATAGTACAGTCAGGTGGTGCAACCGCCGGATGTGCATGATGTGAAACAATGAGTAATCTTAAAAGACCTATGCTAGTTAGGGTCCCGCAATGCCTAGTTTCTTGAGAAACCAAAACCTTCATTTCAAAGGTGAATAGAATACGTCTAACCCGGCTACGATTATTAATAAGCAGCATCACCTTGAAAAACGTTACCAGATTCGCATTATCTGAACTAGCACTAACGTGGAGAGTTGGAGTAATCTGGTAAGGATGTTCAGTGCTGAGGGCCCTGATGTTTCTAGTTCCTACAAATTGTGCAGTGTTGGTGGCTGCAATGATTATATCTAAAGACTTTTGTAAAAAGCAGTTGTATTTAATACTGACAAAAATTATTCGGTTACTTGTATCCACAATAGATATTTAATTTTTGGGGGATCGACTGTTATTAATTTCATGGACTCAGATTTTAAACTCAACTCAAATTACAAAAGTCAGGAAGTGAACATTTGATTTGATTCATTTACAAACTCGATGACCTATTCAGTCGCGTCATATTTATGTACATGGGGCATTTACAATGGCTGTCTTTAATGTTCAATCTCTATTGTAAATACCCAAACAGATTTTCCCCTGTATAACTTTCAATCAAGCAGTTTGGAAAATGATCGAAGGTAAATTAGTATGCAATGCAGAAACATGGCACATGCATTATCTGCATGTCTCGTAATAATGATGCCTTTTTAAACCTAGATAATTTTCCTGAAAACAGAAGACGGTAATAATATTCAGACAATCAGTGGCTGGGCCAGAACAGATTCTGCAAACAAGGTATTCGCAAATGTTCATTGATATTAAATATTTTTAAACAATTTACATTTGGTATAATTTAATGCCTACCAAAAGAAAGTGAGGATAGGCCTTAGGAGTACCACTTCACAGACTCTTGCATGTAAATTCAATTCAATTCTTTATTCCACTCTATGTAAGATATTTACATAAGTGTACATAGGTAGGAAAATAAAGTAACTGATAAATAATAATTAACTAAAAGACATTAAGTTCGTTTGTGTACATTGTCCAAAGTAGCAAGAGCTTTCTTGTTGGACACCGTCATGTTGAAATAATTGGCAGCAGTAAAGAGAGGGATAAAATCTCAGATAATATCGGTGATAAAACATATAAGCAAGGTCAGATTTGGTTGGTTAGAAGACAGGACTTCCATTCTTTCTTAAACTTATGATATGGCAGTTACAATTACTAGACGTGAATTTTCATAGAATCTTAAGTCAGATTAGTTGGATCTTACTTAATCGATCTTAATCGAGGGTATATGTTTTATCTTGTGAATACTTTTTTTCAGGTGCTGCCCAAAGAAATGGCTGAAACAATAACAGATTGTCAGGCTTAAAAAGAAAACGCGCGCATATTTACGCCACAAACTAAGCTACAAGAAGCTATAGTGACTGGAGTGATGAATGCACTGAACAAGCGATTCAAGCACGAGGTTGCCTGGTTTCTCTTTCACTTGCAGGGAAAATCTTTCAATTTATTTGGCCCTGAGGAGATTTGTCATTTCCTTTAATTTATTTATTTACTTATTTGTTTAAAAAAATCGGCTGTTTACTGGTTTATCAAAATCGTCCCGGTGATCTTTCCTCTGGAATCTACTCGAGAAAAGCCCTGAAGGCGAGGATGAAAGATTTACTACAAAAACTAAAGAGTATATCCTCGCTTGATTACTACCAATAATTTTACAATTATAACGGCTAATCTACAGAATCTTTTTGTAAACCCGTTTGTCTTGTCTTCCCTTCAAGAGCAGGCACAACTTCCAAAAGTATAGCCATGGTTATATTGACAGCCTGGGAGTTCCTTGCGACTTCGAATCGAAGTTCCCAAACTTAACCAACATACGACTTAAGAGGGCAGGGGTATCCATTGGTCAACAAGGTGACCTCACCAAACTGGATGTCAAGCAGATGAAACTTTATTACAACTGCACGGACCACCTACTTTTAACCAACTTTTTTGGACAGGAAATTAATGAATAAGATTGAAATAAACGAACTGGTTTACTTCCTTTTTAACTAAACGGAACATATGCATACAACCAACTATTTAAACTCGGTGAAATCCTGCTTCAGTATAGAATTAACGTGACAGATAGATATTTCAATTACAAATACTTAGCTAATATTCAGATAGCGCTAGCTGATAGTGTTGGAAAATGGCAGTATATAAAAGAATTAAACTAGCTGAATGGGTGTGACATCAAAAGATCGAACAGTTCCAACTTTTTTCCTCTACAATCCTGTGGGATCCAGGTCCCATTAATGTAACAATAAGCTGACAAAAAAAAACGATTTTGTTTCTAAACTTTGCCTGTAACAGAGATCTCGGGCCAAAAGATTGGTTGCGTGATCAATAACTAAATAAATTTTGGACAGGAAATTAATGAATAAGATTGAAATAAACGAACTGGTTTACTTCCTTTTTAACTAAACGGAACATATGCATACAACCAACTATTTAAACTCGGTAAAATCCTGCTTCAGTATAGAATTAACGTGACAGATAGATATTTCAATTACAAAATAATACTTAGCTAATATTCAGACATGCGCTAGCTGATAGTGTTGGAAAATGGCAATATAAAAGAATTAAACTAGCTGAATGGGTGTGACATCAAAAGATCGAACAGTTCCAACTTTTTTCCTCTACAATCCTGTGGGATCCAGGCCCCATTAATGTAACAATAAGCTGACAAAAAAAACGATTTTGTTTCTAAACTTTGCCTGTAACAGAGATCTCGGGCCAAAAGATTGGTTGCGTGATCAATAAATGACAATTTTGTAAAAACAAACTGTTGTCCTTACGCGAGCAAGCGCTCCAAATTATAAAAGAAATAGATAGAAAAAATTCCATTTTTGTCATCATTGTGTCTTCCGAATTTGAGTTAAGTTCTGCAATTGAGGAGAACCTCATTGAAAATGACTCTGAATGTGACGGGTATTATTATTATGGTAATCACTGTTTCTGACAAATCTAGTGACGAAGTGATGTCAAAGATATTGTTCGAGGAATATCCCGTCCGGACGAAAAAGAATAACTTGCAGGAAAAAATGCGGGAGGAAAGTTAACAACAAAACAACAACAACAACAGCAACTTCAAATAAACACTGCAACGTACAAATTAGTTGATGATGATGTTCCTACTTTTTCTTTGGCACTGAAAAAGGCAATTGTCAATCATTACTGGGCGAATTTTTCCCACCTTTTGCTCCTGATTTCTACTAATTATGTCTAACATTTGTATAGCTTATGTAAATAGAAATGTAATGCAAGCAATGCCTTTATGTAACAAAAAACTACAAATATACTTTTCGTGAGCCCTTGCAGCTGGTTTAACAGTTACCTGACTAGGGGCAGAGTTTGACAATTATTTCGTGTTCGGATTGGTTGGATTAAGGCAGATGACCAAATACTGGCACTTTGAACTCTTGGAAATACTGCTAGCTACGAAGAATTTATATCTTGATTAAACAGCTTTAGGTTGATATATCGGAGAGACGTATCGAGGAGACCAGCCTTTAACCTACGAGAATTGTTTAGGCCAAGACGCATTCTTCGTTAAAATGTGGTATTTATTTCTTATTCTCGTCATTTCCTCGACACTGGGGATTCCTGTCAATAACGATGATACTGGAAAAAGAGGTAAAAGTAGACTGTTGACACACATTCTTTTTCTTTTTATTTTTAATGAAACTTTCAAAGCCTTGATCGTACCAAGGCTTTTTGAAAATTTTCGGAGTAAAAATGCTTTTAAAAGGGGGACTGATTAGTCGAGCCTGTCACCTTCGATAATCCAGCACGCTTGAACTTACTTAAGGGTAAAGCCCCCTCCAGCATATATACACTATAGCTCTTGGTTTCAAGACGTTTTGAATATCTTAGCTTTCATCACAACGAGAACGCGACAGGCGAAGTAAAATCACTTTTACTAAGGCTGATGTATGTGTCAATGAAGGGAGATTTTGGAAAATGACTTTAAACCAAGCTTTGGGTTGAATAGCATCGCTGCTTTGCAGTATGATTTTGGGTGAATAAAGGTCGTCAGGCCCTGAAAGGTTAACTTTTCCTCGGTCCTGATTGTGCAAGTCTAAGCAGTTTGGTCGAACAGGTGAAGCAAAAGCCCGCCGTTCAGCGTTTTCTTACTGGTAAGTAACAGTCTCGACCATTTGATTTATCAGTGATCGAAAGTCATGTTCCATGCCTTAGTAGGTCTAGTTAGAATTAGTTAAAAGTTTCCTCGGCGCATTAAATAGTAGTTTTTCTAATCATGAACGATCTTTCATGATAAAGACCATTCCAAGTGACACTAAAACGGTACTGATATATGCACTACGTTACGTGCCCGGGAAATTGTACAATCTGCTTGGCTGTTCTTTGATTGGTTACAGGGTATCGAAAATTTGAAGGTGATATGATGTTAACAGAAGCCCAGATTCGAGCAGCGGAGAATGGATTAGACCCAACAGATCTGGCGGGAGCTAGAGGATTGACACGTTTAGGAATGTGGCCCGGTGGAACTTGCCCTTACACCATTCATTCAAGCGCAAGTATGAAATTAGCGTAGAAAAGTGCAATATATTTGGCACTTTTCCAAGAGAGGGAAGGGGCGCTGAAGTGTATTGTTCATACCTAATTGTTTTGAGTAAATAACCTACTCTGGGCCGGAAAAACCTAGGGGAACTCTTTTTAAAGTCTTAGGGGTCCTCTTTCAGGCTTCAGGTATATCAAAGGGTATGGGGAAATCTGTTATTTTTGTATTTAAAAGTTACTAAAATACGCACCATATTCGCCCCTGTTTTAGGAGCTTAGAAAGCATCATTTTTCAAGGGTAGGTTAACCAAAAAGGTACCTTTTCTGTCACAAAATGCATGTTTCTAAAAGAGTAAGGGGTTGGATCTCTGGCTGGAGCCTCCTCGTATAACGCTTTGACGAGTATACCCGCGGGGTAAAAACTTTGGAAAATTATGTTCTCGTCACGAATCAGACATGGTCGATAAATGATCCTTAAGCTTTCTGACCTTTTGTAATTGGCTTGACTTTGTACTTGGTATTTTTCTCTTTTGGTACTGTATCGTCAAACGACACCCCTGTTATCACAATACTTTCAAGATAAGGTATCCAAAGACCACCTCCTCAGTATAATTTCGACACAATAAAACCATCAAACCTGAAAGGTTTTTTCTGTTATAAGAGGCCACCGTGGGCACTTAGTCTTTCACTCCATTTAATAACTTGAAACTGAAACTGAAATTATATATTCTAAGGAGGGATGCATGTTAGTCATCAATACATTAAACGAGACTGATTTCTTTACCATGTGAAATTGCTTTTTGCAGAAAACAAGTTTTTGAATGCACTTGGAATTAAGGGGCCGACCGAAAGAGCAATATATAGTGCCATGAAAGAGTGGGAGGAAAAAAACCTGCATCAGATTTGTGCCCAGGACTACTCAAAAAAATTACGTGGAGTTTTTCTCGGGTGATGGGTAAATAATTTTGGGAAATGTTCAACAGTTTATAATTTAAAAATATCTTGGATGAATAACATAGATAAGTATATACACACTCAGTGATCTTGGTAATTCAAGTAATCTGATTGGTTAGCTATCTCGGACTATGACGTTATATTCACTGCGCTAGGCGATCAATATAAAGCAGAACAAAATCGCTGTCGTGAACAGGGTGTTTTGCCAAAGTTTCATGGTAAAGCCTTTTTGAAAATACGCGAATATCCAAGTGCTGATGACTTTGAAGGCAAGAAAAGACTTCATGGTGTTTAAGAGCCAATGTCTGTAATTTTCGAAAATCGGTTGACAGTCGTGATTTTTTGAATTTCTTCATATTTTGCCCATATAATCTCTATAGTACACTTATTTCAAAAATCACATTAAAACTTGTAACGGCTTTTTATTTTTTCCTGAATCGGGCAAAGTTTGAAAAACGCTAAATCGGCGCTCTTTCGAGTATGAAATTAGCCAAAATTAAGCATTTTCTTCGCGCTCGTACATAAAAACAGGATGATATCTCTCAGTGAAATCAAGTCACAAAGCAAACACAGACTTGTACTTTAAAATTCAGTAATTATCTTCAGATAAGCTGTTTAAATGTGACTGTGTCGGCCGCAAGAAGAAACACGATTTCGGCTCTCTTCAAAAATGGCAAATTTGACGTAACTTCACTATCGAAAAAACCCAATTGGTACATAGAATTTCAACATGAAACAAACACTATTTTAAAGCATATCCTTTGCCGTTTCTTGTGTTAAAAAATTTTTGGCGGCATTTCAAAAGTGCTTCGCAGAGACACCGAAACGTGCAGGGTAGTTTCGCACGTTGGAACGCTGCAACAAACTAGCGGCGAGTGTAGGCACACAAACGTTTTTGCAAACTTAGCTTCCTTTACAAGAGGCACATTAAGGGAAGCTCTTAAGATATTATGAAAAACACTTTTCAATTTGATGGTTATAAAAAAGAACTAAGTAGATTAACACTGCATTTGATTGCACGCAAGTAGCTGAAAAAGACAACGCTGCTAATTTCGTGTTGAGTGTAAATATTGACCTCGAGTTTCTGCACCTAAAATAAAACCACTAGAAACGGCTTGCTAGCTCTAAATGAGATACGAGATCTTTAAGAATTTTACTTACCACAGTCGTTTCAACTGCAACTGGCCGCAGTTTACTGAAATCTTCCGTCGTTTAACCACGGACTAAACTCCGTGTTGCGTGATGAAGCGTGTGTGATTTGAGTCTTGTCACGCAACTGTACAGACAGGGATAAATCATCGCACGGGTTTACAAGAAAAAATAAAATGACAATTAACACTGTTTTTTTTTTATTATTTTTATATTTTATATTCCCAAAACATGTCGAACTAAACTTGATTTTAGGAAGTACAAGCCGAAACTCAAATAGAGAAAGAAAACAAATAGAGTAAGCTGAGTCTGCAAAACTTTTCACACTAGTTCTCTTTTATTTGCACTTACTTCCGCGCCTTTGCTTGTAATAAACTGATCTTAACCCCGCTTGGCGTATAGACTTCTCTGTCGATCACCTCAGTATGAATTGAGGGATTTAGGTACACACGTACGCCATATGCATCATGAAGGTAGAGCAGGGAAATGGAAACGAGTAAAAATGTTTAAAGAAAAATTGGCCGATGCTCCGCAAAAGAACATTCCTGAAAAACAAAAAATCGACAATGGACAATGGACACATTTGATGAGCGAAATACAAGTATTCAACATGTTTAAATTACTGGAAGTAGTATTGCTTTGCTCCTCTGCAGCAAGGGTATCTTCTGGCTAGACTCAACCTGCTGTTGACGATCTGATCCCCCGCCCCTTAAAGGCCAGTCTACACATTATGGCGTTAGACCAGAATGCACGTACATGCTAGATCCCGCCTAAAAAAAGGAATAGTCACCTGGCTCTCTCCGCCACCACCCCCCGGCACTCTTTCGCAGGCTAGAAAATAAACCAATTCACTGACAAGACTGACAAGTTCTTTTTCAGAACGTCAAAATCCGTCGCCTAAATGAAAAAATGCTTTAAAATGCCTCAGCCATTTTACTTATCATCTTTTAACCAAAATACGTTGCGCGGAAAAGAGATAAAAGGCTGAAAATAGCCTTTCATATCGATTTCGCGTATGAAAATAAAAACCTCAGGGGATTTATTGACCATTAGCGCTAGGGGATCTCGCTCGCGTGCTCGTCCATTTTCGAAACGAAAAAGGAGTGTAAAAGCTGCACCTTCGTCGCTCAGAAAACGTCTGCGTAAATCATTTTCTTCAGGCCATACAGAGTCATCAATCAATGTGCCTTTATGGACCTCTCTATGAGCAGCCAGTAGCCTGATCTAGAACGGTACCACGTGATTTGTTGCACCGCCACCCGGAACAAAAAACATTTAGCAATGGTGAGGACAAACTCTTATTTTCATGCGCCAATTTTGTGGATCAAACAAAGGTCACCCAACGTAAATGTAGAAAACCTTACTTTTATCATTAGCATGGTAGGCTCGATGCCCTACATACTCACGTGACTAACAATTCAGGAGCATACCAAGTGATCGCAATACATTCAGCATTACTGGGGCCACAGGCGCCACAAACCAAGTTTGAATATGTGCCAGATGCAAAACGAACATACATCAAAGATTTGCACCGTAAGACATTTATACCAGGAATATCTTTTCCGGCGCGTTACGCGTCACGCACTTCCGGAATGTCATCTTCCCTCGTATTGACAGATTGGAAACATACACAAACTTAACTTTGATTCTGCCTTGATGCAGACTTTACTTTTCGGTACTGTGACCCCGTCTAGCATTTAAGTTCAGGTAGTAAATAACTTTTCTGATTTTAAGGTTTCAATACAATTAAAACTATAGCAAGCGAGTATCTCGACAATATTCCCCTCTACTAACTGTGATTTGAACTGCGTATTCGTGTCTCTTCATTATGGTTTATCGCAAAAATCAGTTGAAAGGAATCACGTTAAACCAAACAGAAACGCCGAGATATAATCTGAAACCCTTACAACTCTGACTAGGGTTTAAATGTCGAAGTAACTTATGTTTGAAAGGATTAATATTCCAAGCGTCGAAACTTGCTCTTTGCACGCGCTTTCCTGGTGTCAAAATACCCTTCAGGTTTTGGTCTCTCGACGGTGCGCATTTGGAATGCCGCCAGAAATATTTTAACACAAACAACAGCAAAGGATATGCTTCAATACAGTTCTTGTTTCATATTGAAATTCCATGTACCAACTGGGTTTTTACGATGGTGAAGTTAGGTCAAATTTGCCATGTTTGAAAAGTGCTCAAACCGTGTTTCTTCTTGCGGCCGGTACAGTCTCATTTAAACGGTTTATTTAAAGTTAATTCCTGAATTATATAGTAAAAATGTGTGTCTGTTTTGTGACTTGATTTCATCTAGAGACATTATTCCGTTTTTATGTACGAGCGCGAAGAAAATGCTCAATTTTCGCTAATTTCATACTCGAAAGAGCGCCGATTTAGAGTTTTTCAAACTTTGCCTGATTCCTGAAAAAATAAAAAGCTGTTACAAGTTTTAAAGTGCTACTACGATCAAATCTTTGACTACCATTTTTTTTCGCTAAATTGGCAGTTTAGTACTTGAAGTACATGGTGTGCAAATTATAGCTTCATACGATTAAGGAAAGTGGTATTTTTTGGCGCTCAAAAACCATTAATTTTCGTCCGCCATTAAAACGCTATGTTCCTGTGGCCTGGTTACCAAGAACACAAGGCAATTGCTATGTGACGTCATTTACTTAACGCAGTACACACAGCATGACAATTTTCTTCCAAGAACCCTGCTCAACAATGTTCCCTTTCCTCCCACTTCGATGCGTTCTTGTTTAGCAAGACTCTTTCGATCTTACTACACTAGGCTCCGTATGTGTGCAGCAACCGCTTCAATCGATAGAATTGAGCTGCACGCGAGTCTGACCAACTGAATGTGAGATTCGAGGAATAGGTTTGTTTCCAGCTGACAGTTTCTCTGTTTTCTCGGTTTGATAATTTCGAAGAGTGCTGCAATAGCATTTACGGGGCTTTCAACGCAAACCAGTGGCGGAAAATTAAACTTGGATCGTTTTCTAGCATATGGAAGAAAGATCAATCGACAGATCTTGAATCCGAAAAGAAATCTTCGCATAAAGAGGGAGCGCATGGAGGTAAGCTTACAGTTCGCAAAACTGGCAGTGAATGTCCCCAACGCTAAGTTTATTTACATCGCCGGTGGTGATTTTTGCTTTTACTACTGGCGAAGTCATCGAAGATAAATTTTTTCTTAGACCTTTCTTCGACTGGAACGCGACGACTACGAAACTTTTAGGAAACTTTCAAAAAGATTTGCCCTAAGGCAACAGATCACAGAGAGCCCTCTAGTTTTGTAAACACTATTATTGCTCACACCTTGCTCTTGTAGTGTACTATTTTTTCTGTTACCACTATTAACATTCCTTTGAGCTTTTATAAAAAGCTTTAAAGCTCTATTTGTAAATTTTTGTCATAAAATATTAAAATCTATCAGGATCATGGTGCAATCTGAATGGTATGATATTTTAATACACAGTAAATTCCTTAGTATTTCTAACATTCTGGTCGCCATAACCCTCACTAAACAAAAGGTATGCTTTTTTCAATTTTAGTCTTCCCAAAACTCAGAGCCTGATTTAAACTGCACAGACACATTGTCAGTTCAAACCACAAGCTAAAGCATGAGAGCCCACACAAGTTTATTGCAAAAACTGTTTTTGCAATTTTGTAAAATACAGCAAGAATTATTACCATTTGCTGATGTGGTCTTTAAAATAAAATTGTGATCCTATCTTGACTGTTGTGTATTGTTATTCTTTTGAGTGAATAACGAAAATTTTTGCAATCTCGCATTGAATACTTACATTAATTATAATTATGGTATATCATAATTGGAGATGTAAACTCCAACACAGG